GATAATACGGGTTATCTATGGGTTGCGGGTTGAGATATGTAGATCCTAACCCATTTTTACTGGTCGGGTTATGGTCGGGTTGACAGGTTAGATGGATTTTTGTCAGGTTTAGGCAAAACCATAAGTTAAGCCCCTGAACTAACCCCAAAATTGCTATTAAGCCCCTAGACTTTAATTGATGCATATAAGCCCACTCTACTGTCAAAGCAATTTAGCCCTTCTTCTTATGCCAACTTTAACTGCCGTTTGGACTTGCTCGCATGGCTTAACTGCCGTTTCTGCTTGGCTGCTTGGATGGCAAAATATTGTCCTACCATGCTTATATGGCAAGGGATTTAACATTTAACTGGGTTTTTTTGACTTATTTAATCATTTAATTTTTTGAATTAAATAAAGTCTAAATAAAATAAAGTCATATTTTGGTGGAAATATTATTTAAATAAAATCTTAAATTTAAATTTAATAAATATAGTAATAGACATTAAAAAAAATTTTATGTGATTCCTTGTATTTTAATTTTAAATTAATTGAGACTAATATAATTTTTAAATTTTGAAAGTTTAATAAAAAAAATAGTATCATTTAAAATGATAAATTTATAATTACATGATACATGATATTAAATAAATATAATAAGAAAAAGTGTATATCAATTTTAATTTTTAAAATAAATTAAAGTTTCAAATTTAAAACAAATACCTCATTTTATCTAATTAAAACTCAATTTAAAATTTAAAAATTTATCTCTTTAAATATTAATATTTAGATTTAAAAAGTGATTTCATTATGATATATAATTAATTTTTAAATTTAAGTATCAACATTTAATAAGGTAAATTTTTAAATTTTGCATCGAAATTTTAGTTTTAAATATAAGTTGAGATTCTAAATTTTTTAAAACAATTAAAACTGATACACATTAATTTTATATAATAAATATTAAATAAATATATAGTATTATAAATAAATTTTTAAATAAAAACAAATTAAATAATGATGCATTAAATTATAATATCACATAATATCATCAGGAAAAAATGCATATCAGTTTTGACTCCCAAAAATAATTGAAATTTTAACCTTAAATTATTTCGTTTTATTTAATTAAAAGTCAATTCAAAATTTAAAAATTATCTTATTAAATATTGATATTTGGATATAAAAGCTGGCTATATTAAAATATATAATGAGTTTCTAAATTTATATATTAATATTTAATAGTATGAGATTTCAGTTTTGACTCCCAAAAATAATTAGGGTACCAACCTACATTTGAAAACTAAAATCTCATACTATTAAATATTAATATCTAAATTTA